AGGTAACATTACCGGCAGTAGCATTCTCTACTTAGCCATTAGGAATTCCATGGTGGCGGTAGATTGTGCTACACTTACCTACTCAGCTTTCACAACCCTGTTTACGTCATTTTTCTTTCAACACCGCTTACAACACCAGGCACTTTCACTGACTTTGGAAAGATTTCAATCATGTAGTTCGTTTAAATTCGGTTGAACTTATTAAACGATTTAGTGCTGATAATTAATTTCAAATATTAATGAAAAAAATATCAGGTCATACTTTTAATATTCAAATCTTGCTATACAAGCAGAAATTCGAAGATTTTAAGCCAGAAATTAAGCCTAGAATTACAATTGATCAAAGGGTTCGTAATTTTAAGCGAATATTTTAGTAAGAGATTTTTTTTTATTTTTCTTCATGTTTTTTTATTACTTCTGATGCTAATATTTTTAAATTTAATTTAGAGAATGGTCAATAATTTAGATTTCTTTTCTCTTGATATTAATAATTTTTGTATTAATTTTGCGATGATTTTTTATTTAATTATTATTTAATAAATATATTTATCGATAACGTATTTTATTTCTTCCTGTGTTTTTATTAATTTTCCAATTTATTTGTAAATATATTTTTTTTCATTTTTTCTAATTTAATTTTTTATTATTTTCGGGTTCATTTGCTACAGGTCGCAGAAATTTAATGATTATTTTCTTTAATTAATTTTCTAATATTATTCTTACATTAATTAGGATTCTCTTTTGATCGATTCTACTCTTAGAATCGATTCCAATCCCTACTTTCGACTTTGATCATTTCAAAACTATGAGGTATTATTAAATTTCCATTTTTTACTTTATCGTTTTTTTTCTCTTTCGGGGTAATCCTTTGAAAAGTCGTCGAATTAGTCTCGAAAGGTTTTGACTTTATCAAAATTGGGATTTAGATTTTGCCCGTAACCTTGATTTCTGTGAATTTCCGAATATTTCGGTCATATCTTCATTTTTTTTAACCAATAGAATAGTTGCTGGCATTGATGCTTTTTAACCCGCATTAATCAACTTAACGAATCTACATTTATTAATTCATTTACAAAAGGAATAAATATACGATTTAAATCAAAAATAATCTTTTGTAGAACTGGGACAGAATCAGAGAGAAAATTTTCATTTTCTTTTGCTTAAAACATGGAATTATGATTTGGGCATGTATCTTTTATCAACGGAACCGTTGTAAGCGACGCAAGATTGCCGACGAGATTGTTAAATAAATATGGCATTTTCCCAAACAACACTTTATACATTCTATCCAGCAATAATGATAGCTTTACTATCTATTTGGAACCTCTACACAAATATTTGCTAGATGGTATGCATTCTTTATTGAGATTTCGCTGTTAATTTTAAGAATGATCAATTCACAGAAATCTTTTTTTAGATAACGGATTCGATATTGACTCCGTTCAAACAACGCTGTAATCGTCGGTTGGCCCAGTATTACGTAATATAACAATTACTTTCCGTTAAGGAAGTACGTCTTTCTATCAGTATACTACTACGGATCCTCTTCTTCGACAAGCATTTCTAGCGCAGTCACAATATTACTCATTGCTCAGTGACAATAATACTGTATCTTTTCAAGTTCTCTCAAGCACGTTCAATTCTCCGAGGGCCTCTTACTTTGTAATATTTAATAACGACTTTGTCAGTAGCATGTTACGGAATCAACCACTTCCTGGGGTATCAGAAGTATATTAGACGTACACGGCAGGTAAAATGTCAGATGCGATCAACTTAATGATCATTAGTTCTTTTTCTTTTTTTACTAACTTAATGTATTTATAAATTTAGATACAGCGATAGTATATTTACAGGTGAGCTACTATAAATCAAATGAAGATACGGAAGCTTATTATATTTATAGTTATATTATCCTTCTTGTAGAAACTACAGCTAGCTTATTGAGACTAAGCTCAGATGAATTAACTTTTTTCAAAAATCTTGGCAAAGAATATAAAGACATTTTTCTTAATTAATTATTGAGTTAACTTTCCGAATTCAAACCCGATTGATATTAAACGATCATCGACTAGCAAACAACATCAACCTGATCCTAAGGCGACTAATCAGATCTGATTTCCTATAACAATTGAGAGCACAAAGAATCCACTTGATCGAAGCGTTTAACAAGTTATTGATACCTGGATACATTGGTAAAAAAAACAAAGGGGTCAGTCCAATTACCTTCAAGAATTTCGCATCATATTTGGACAGCACGAACCGACGCGTGAGTAATGAAGTTTCTTATCGATGTTTCATACTCGCACATGACGTTTCGCCCTTGATTTACACATTTATCATGACTCTATTTAAGCAAAAGTTATAAGCTCAAATTGATGATCTACGTTACAATTGGAGTTATCATTCTGGGTGCCATTTATTATGTGGCAGAAAAATAAAAAGGTATTACCGTAATTGTTAAATATTCTGGAAGGCATAATACATTAACGTTCTTTTTTATAGAGCCAGAACTTTGTGATCATCAAGGTAATTCTTATTATATTAGATTTAATTCTAGACATAGCTTTCGTTGTTACTAGCGGCAAATTTTCAGTTGGCTATACTTGCCAAGTTGGTTAGTTTTACGATATCTTTATTAAAACTACTGTACATAAATCCACTTTGTTCACTAATATCTTTCTATTCTACTTATCATTTGAAATGTAAGCATCATTTACCTTGCGATAGATACCATTATGCTTCAACAGTCTTATTCCATTATATTGCTAACCTCAGAAATCAACGAAAATCAAAATTTTCATATATGGTATCGGTTGTATTCAAGCGTTTTTAACAAAATTAGCAGCGGCAGATGTTGAGGCAATTATACTCATGTCATCTAAGCATTTTGGATTTGAGATTTTCAGTGCACCCCACCCTTTCAACAAATCACAAAACATGATTAATAGGTTATTTGAATTAAAAGATCAAGAACCCAGTTAGATTATTTATACAAGGATTGACCCATTCGATAACTGACTTGTAGGGTTATTTTGGATATCTCTCAATCACCACCAATGTCTAATGCGATATATCGATGTAATACAAATGAATAATACATGTTGAATTAACAAATGTAGAAATCTTTTACTTTTGGACAGGATTTTGCAATTGTTTATCGAAAATGCACAGTCAATTATTCAAGTAAGTGTGATTTAGTTAACTAATGTCTGATTTTGTTATTGAAAAGAGTTGCAAATTAATAGCTATGCTTCAAAATAGATCTTACGCAGGCAATTTACTGTCTCTTATGACATTATCCCATTATTGACAATGAGTTCAATTATTTGAATTAGCAACGTCATTGGACTTGTATTAATAAAGTTCACAAATCGTTATAATTTTGTATCAAATATGGAAGCAATAAAGGATGAGATTCCTTTGATTTTTACTAAGTGATGTAATTTAAAAAAAAAATGAACAAACATATTTGTATTTCGATCCATAAGAAAGCGAATTTTTCTTAAAATTCTGATAATAAATTAATAAGAATATTGTTTATGGAAACGTAAATGGACGATTTTCCGTATTTGCTACTGGATTACATTTAATTTAAAAGTTCAAAATTCGGTCAGTATGCTAAGGAATTTTCGGATGAATGACCTTCTGAACATTGTCTTCTATATATTATTAGTTAATTCAGAAAATCCTGATCTTGATAAGCTCATTATAAATAATTAGTTTATATGTTAAGTAACCATTTTCATTAATGCACTAATACGTCGGTTATGGTTTCACGAAATACTTTTAAAATACAAGACGATAAAAAGTCAATATAAAATTACTTCTCACTAAATGCTCTGAGAGGTTTGATCTGTTTAGCAACCATAACGACAAACAAATACAAATTCATCGAATTTAAATGTCAAAATTATTTTTTAGATCGTTTCCATCGGATCACATCGTCTCGATCAGCAGTATTTTTAAGAAAATATTAATCTGTCTGTTTTAGATTGATTTTTCCATAGACATGAATATAGTATACATGTACTTAGAATTTGCATTAGTAATTCGATAAAAATTCGAATTTTACCTTCTGTTAGAGGCAGTTATAGTTGATTTTTTTTATGATCATTTTATTATATAGTTGTTTCGCACTCAAAATTGTACTTTTGTTTTTCGTTGCTCAAGTTCGAACTTAATAATTAAATTAAAAGTGAACCGGAAGTAATTCAAATAATATAAAGAAGCGTTTATTGATATGGAGTAAAGGTTTTATTGGAAATTTAACATCGAAAAAAAATTTTTTTTTGTTCTAGATGATGAACAAATTTTATTAATTTTCGTATTGAACAATGCAAGTAGATAAGACATTGAATAAGCATTGACAAAATAGGGAATTTAAGAACCTGCCGACGTGTGAACTTAATAATTTTTTTTATTATTATTAATATGCAAAATAAAACTGTGAAGAGTTGTATTACGTCTGCGGCTGTAATCAGTACGTAAATCTTTGACATAAAATAATTCTTTAATGGAATTGACTGTAATCATTTGATAGCAAAAATGTTTGTTAAAATAATTCATACTAACGAATCCATAATCTCAATATTATTACTTACAGGAAAGCGATTCTTTAGGAATACTGGAAACTTTCAATTTCCAGACCATTTTTATAAATTTCAACTAAATAATTAATAAAAAATAAAGCACAAGGTTAATCATTATCATCCAACCTAAGAGATTAGATATCTCACGATAATGGTCGATACTATCATGGCTCGTTCGTGCCACGTCATCATACCCTGCACTAGGCGAACTAGTCACGGTTTTACGTACTAGGAATTTAAGCCTTAAAACCAACGGGGGCCCCTAGATCCC